CCCGCGCCAGCGCGTGGTTGAGCCGCAGCGAGCGCAGCGCCGGGAGCCCGCGGAAGGCGCCGCCGCCCAGGGCGCGCAGCGGGTTGTGGCTCAGGTCGAGCGCCGCCAGGCTGGGCAGCCCGTCGAAGGCGCCGTCCTCCACCACCTCGATGTTGTTGTGCGTGAGGCGCAGCGCGCTGAGGAAGGGCAGGCGCACGCCCGCGCCCCCGTCCCCGTCGGCGAAGGCGGCCGCGCGCAGCACGGTCAGGTTGGCGCCCACGATGGTGAGGTTGCGCGCGTCGGGCGGCACGTCCCGGGGCGGCTGCCGGAGCTCGGCGCCCGGCGCGCAGCTCAGCAGCAGCCTGGGGCTGTTGAAGCAGTAGCACTGAAAGGGGCAGGGCGCGGCGGGCCGGCTCAGCGCCGCCGCCGCGAGCAGCAGCCCCGGCAGCAGCGGCCCCCGAAGCTCGGGCCGTCCCGCGCGCGGGGCCATCGCGGCCGGCGCCGCATCCAGCGCCCGCTGGTCCTGGCCCGGGCGCTCTCGGTCTGTGCCTGTCTTCTGGCTCTGAAAGTCCGGAGAGCCTTCACTTTCCGGGCTGCGGCGAGAGGGGTCAGGCGGGGAGCAGAGCCCCCCGCCCCCGCGGCCCTCCTGGCGCTGCGCGCCGGCCTCCGACTGCCGCGGCCGCTCCAGGCTCGGCGCCGAGTGGGCCGGCTTTGCCTCCCCCTCCCCGCCTCCCGGCCTCCTCCTCCGCCCCCAGCCGAGTCTCCGCGCCCTCCTCGCCGAGGGAGGCGGGGTGGGAGGCTCCCGAGAACCGGGATTTCGGTTCCGTTGCTGAGCTCTTGCTTGCGCGCGCAGTCCCGCTTCCGAGAAGTTTGGCGGTGCGAGGCTGGCTTGCTCTCTCCCCTCGTCCGCACCCGCGAGTCTAGGCCGGTTCTCTTCTCCGTTAGTGGCACGTGTGGGGCGGGGCGGGCTAGGGATCTGACAGAGCTGGCAGGTGGGTTTTTACCCAGAAGAATGTTTTTCTTTTGGGCGAGATGGCGACTTTAGACCTACCCTGCAAGAAGAAAAAGGGATTAGCGATGGGCAGAGAAAGTTACTCATTTTTCAGCCTCTTCTCCATTTCTGTGACCAGGGAAAAGGGATGTGCCAGGGAAAAGAGCCTGGAAAATCCCCAGCCTCTGTCCACCTCCTCTTCATCCCCAATTCCCTTAGGCACAGCCAGGTCACTACCCCTGCAGATCCCGTGGGACCAGCATTTTCTGGACCCTGCCCCATGCCCTGGAGAAGCCGACTGCATCTCTGCCCCGCTCAGACCCCCCCAACTTTGGCTGCGCGGGGTCTACAGGGAGCCCGGGCATCCCGTTTCCAGGAGGGACTCACCCCAAGCATCCAGCTAAGCACGGGGACTCGTGGACAGGATGATTGGGCTCCTCGCTTTTCCTCTGTGCCCAGCATCTGGGCACCCCTTTTCACTGACCTTGTACCCGCCCCTGCAGGGTTCCCCTCTGTTAGTGGTGAATGAGGTACAGGGTTGGGGTCTCCAGAGGCTGGGAGAACCCGAGCCACTTTTGCAGCATGGAATAGGGTTTCTGAGGGGACCAGGAATGAGATGGGGGCTGAGCTGTTTATGCGTTTTGTTCTGTTCTGGATTTTCACTTATTTATTTATTTTTGCAGAACTGGGAAGTGCCAGACCTGATTTAAAGAGACAGGCTCCTGAGAAGGGAGCATTCCTGGCCTTGGCATGAATTATTCAGGTTGGAGAAGCTGACATTTGATCCACAGGCCATTCCAATATCAGCAGAGCAAGTTAGGATAGAGGCTCCCCTCTCCTCCCCCGAATCAGTCTCTCCTGAATTGGGGAGGGCTGTCAGTTGTCGGGTTGACTTCCCTGTGGTTATATTTAACAGATCGACCAATGGGATCGAAACCACTTAAAGAGAAGAGCCAGATCCTGTAATGGCCTGGTTGTCAGGCAGGGACCAACTCTAAGGACCAGGGCTGGTGATGTTGGGGATCCTCCAGCCCCCTTTACCCTCCAGTCCTTTCTCCTGTCCCCATCATAGCATTTCCAGATACTGGCAAATGACAACAGTAACTTGCACATACACAGTTGGATATCTCTGTACTGATGCACACATTAGGTTGTGTGTACATGTGAGCTTATACATGTCAGGGCAAGCTCTCCATGTTTACACATAAACAGTCCTAGATGTGTCTGCGTGTGAGCACACAGACTTGTGCTTACTTGGCTGTGCATACGCACGTATGAGAAGGCTTACACAAGCAGGGTCAGATGTGCCTCATGCAAATACATGCAGGCTCATTCATAAATGTGCACCCAGGAACGTAGTTTTTCTTTAATCACCTTTTTGTAGTGCTTTTTTACTTTATCTCTTTGTTAGCACATAATTTTTGTATGTGTTGATCACATTCATCACAGGGAGTTTGTACCTGTACATCACATATCTTAATTCTTTTTTCCCCTTCCCCTGCCCTCCCTCAAGCCCTTTTCCCCTCTGCACTAACAAAAGCTTGATTTCCATTTTTTGTTTTCAGTCTTTTCTCCCCTTTCCCTTCCTTCCCCTTCCCACTTGAACATGTTCTTACTTCCCAATACCTATTCTCGGTATGCTTCTTATTTACTCTTCAGGTTTCTTACACAAGAGAAATAATATGATACTTAAATGTGTAGGAACATAGATTTGAGCAGATCCTGATATGTGCCCATAGGTTCATGAGCACATACATGCTTGAATAAGCAAGCACGCTGCTGGTCCTTATAGGTTCCCGGATGCATCCTCACAGGGGCAGGCTTATAGACCTGTGCGTGATGTAGGCATATGCATCCAGAGAGTGGTCAGCACTGGGAGCGGCTCCTTCTGCCCTGCCCTGTGCCCTTGGTCTGTGGAGGTCACAGGAAGGTGGTCTTCCCTTGTAGGGCCACGCATGCTCAAGTGGCTGCCCTTGAGGCTGAGTACCCATTTGGTGTAGTCCCCTCTGCCTTGGCACCCCTCAGCCCTGCTCTGACGTCTCCCTGTGGTGGTGGCACTGCAGCATTTCCACGAGGGGAACCAGCAGCGTGAGGCAAGTGTGCAGCAAAGGCTTATGGGCTCACAGTGAATGAAGAGTGGCCTCTCCCCTGCCCTGCTGGCTGCAGAGACGCTGCTACCTGCAGTCCTGTGGAGTTGCAGACCACTTGCCAAAGCCACAGCTCCCTCCCCTGGTCCCATAGTGACTGGCTGCAGTTTAGCTGGCTGATGGCAGCCCTGGGAAAGGGACTGTAGGCAGTAGGCAGCCTTGGTGGAGGGCTGCTGAACACCTCATCCAGGGAAGACAGGCCCATAGAACAGAGCGCGGGTTAACTGTGTTATACAGGTGAGGAAAATGCTCTGTTCTCTGGAAGAGCAGCCCACTTCATCTCCAGACTGTCAGTGTGTAGCGTGTGTTCAATAAATGTACGTCCAGTTGAGTCCGAGGTATTTCTTCTCCATAGCATCCATGAGAAGTGTCTTTTCTTCGGCTGTTTCCCTCCTCTGTGCAGCCCTCTGGGATCGGTATGAGTCCACCACCTCCAGGAAGCTCTTGTGGCTTCCCTGTCCAAGTTTGGAGCTTCACATACCGATCAGAGGGCCTTTTGGCTATCTGTAAGCAGTGTGCAGATTGGTGTGATTTCCTGTGTGTCAGGACACAGGGCAAGTCTCAGCATAGAAAAGGCACCAGGGGACATTTATTGAATGAAGTAATATTTAAAATCTCTGGCTGGATCCTTCCATTCCTGGGAGGTCAGTCTGGAGAGGTTCCCCTATCTACACTTTACACCAGGAGTGCATACTTGTCCAGAAAGGTTAAGTACTTCCCCCAAGGTGACACAGCTGCGGGGACCTGAGCCTGATAGGAGCTCAGGTTTCCTGCTCATTTCCTTTGGCACATCAGCCCTCCCTGTCCCTGGCTCCCTCCCGAGAGTGAGTGTGGGTAAAGAGCTGAGGCTTCTGGTTTTCCTCAGGACTGGGAGCAAGTGAGGCAGCCCTGTCCCATTGGAGCAGCGAAACCATCTGCCGTGTACCCAGATGAAAGTTCCCTTGGGCAGCCATGCTAAACCTGAATTTTTCCTTTTTAAAAAATACTTCCGCTTGCACTGTTGGAGATGGGGCCTAGGGCCACATCATGCTAGTGTAAGCCTCTGACCACTGAGCTGTAGCCCCAGCCCCAGAGCTCTGTTCTGGATCTATGATCTCAGTAAGTCTCATAAATTCTTTCTGAGCATTCCAGGTTGTTCTCTCCTTGAGCTTCAAGCTCTTTCCTTTGGATTTCCTGTCTCTTGGCAAAGACCATACTTTCTATGAACTCCGCTGGGGCTTGGTAGGGAGCATAGAGAGATTTATTGGTTTTTCTATCCTAGGATTCCCAGCAGGTAGCTCCTTCTCCACTAGACTCCAGCTCCAAAATGGCCTCAGGAATGCCTCTAGCTTATGAAAGTCCTTGGGCAACTTTCTGCTTTCCAGACCTGTTTCCCCATCTGCAAAAGGTGTGTGTGTGTGTGTGTGTGTGTGTGTGTGTGTGTGTATCTGTCTGTCTGTCTGTCTGTACACAGAGGGTGTTTTAGTTTTGTGCCCCTTGGCTTTGTAGAGGTGGAGGTCTGGGAGGAGCAGGTAATACTGTGATTTGCCCAAGTTGGTCCCCCCCCCCGTCCATGTATTAAACTTGGCCCCACCCCAGTTAAGGCCGTAGTTTGCTTATGGTGGTGATATTATAAAGTGGGGGTCCACGAGGCATGCTGCTTTAGTGTCCTGTATGCAGATTCCCCTTTATCCTGGGGCCTCCATGCTGCCCTCCCTTCCCCTCTGTCCTTGTTCCTCTGAGGCAAATGGAGGGCAGCTGGGCAGGCCTGATAGGCAGCGGGATGGCCTATCTCTCTACTTTGTCGCTCCTATGCTGGCCTGGTGGTGGGGGTGGGTTGGGGAGGACTTCACTGCGGGCCTGGCTGTTCCCTTTTCTCATCGCTTACTCCCTCCTCCCCCACTGCCTGAGACACTGGAAAATCCATAGGCCCAAGATTCATTTTCTCGGTTGAGTCAGCAGAGGCCACACTGCTTCTAGTGGCTTTTAAATAACTCTGATATTTAATACCCTCCTCCTCCACTCTGTGGCCTGGGCCTCTAGGGAAGGGCTGATACAGATGAATGGGATGAGTCTGTCCTTTCCCCACCCAGATTCTCAGACCACCAATAAAAGATGATGCTCTTACTACCTTTGTATTGAGCTTTAGAGTTTACACACAGTGCCCCATGCTGGGCCTGTTATCTCCTTCTTAGAATCAGTAACAAGTTTAGCACAGGGGCATGAGCTCACCCAGCCCTTGATGCTAGTTTGTTGCTGGCTAGATGCGTGGCTGTGAGCAGGTCCCTCAGTCCCTGGGATTTCTATGCTGTTTGTGTGGGAGAAGCTCAAGGGTAGGGCAGCTGAAGCTCAAGGCCACGGAGGGTCTGAACC